AACGAAACAATCCTAGCCTTGTTAGTCATTCCGAAGAACCTGAGTCCGGAAGATTTTGATAAGTTGTTCTAAAACGCTAATCCCTTTTTAGCTTTCACGTCCTATCTAAAAATACGTTTCTTTTAGGAGACAATAGAACAGCGCACGGTTTAGGTAATTTCTGTTGCCGGAAGATGTGCGATGTTTAGCATTCAGAGTAGACCAGCAATATAATTTCCACCAGGTCACCCTGGTCTGACTCAAGCAGAAAGCACCAGAGGACCAGAAAATTGTGCCATTAATTTAGAATCACTACTGTTTCAGTTGCGTGATAGTCTAAGCACATGCATTTGTGTTCATCTTCAATGATTTTTGCATGGTTTTGTGTATCGTACATTGTAGACGCATAAAGTAATTCGTAACAGGCACTCGCTATGATAAGATAGGTGCATAACTGGCAACATCGTCATTCGTCAATCATATGTTTGGTCTCTATGGCATATTAAAAAATAACGTTGTCATTAGTTTGTATGCAGTATGTATTCAAATGATATAGCCACTAAATTATGATAGTCAAGCAGACTCTAGTACCACCGAGGACACGAAGGCATTTATTAAATCGTGTGAATCTCTTGCAATGAAGAATGAGGTCTAGTCTTTAAATGCTTATCTTCTCGCCTGGGACCTTCGATCTCCTGATTGATGGAGCAAAGGCCGCCAAATTTGCTGACATAAAGTCGAATGAAGTGGCGTCGATGGGTCCATTCCTAGAGATTGCATTACGATCGACAGGCCTCTGTGGCGTTTGGCAAATGCGTAGACTCGGCAAACTCCTTTCCCAGTCATTTCATTACATCGATAAGCATCAATCTGTTTTAAAAGGAACTTCAATTGGTCAGTTAGGTTCATGTACGGAAGACTTTGGAGTGGGTGGGGAATATCCTGGTTCCAGAATGTCCATGACTTGGTGGGGCATCCGTCTTATGTGCCGATCGGGGTGATGAGAGCCCGGTGCGAGCCGGTTTGGCGCTCGCTGTATACCACCTATGGAGATGGTCTGTGGTTAGTGTGCAGCTCCAGTGCCAATAAATATCCCTTTTAGCTTTTTTTATCTTTCTAGATGCAAAAATGCACTTCCCATCAAGACAGCACGAAATATGTTCATACTACATTCGTTAATTTTGGATATTCTCATAATTTTTGCCTTTTCTCATGTAACAATAAGAGGAGTCAATGTTTTTTTTTCTACAAAGCCGGTTACCACCCGCTGTGCTGGTGTGGCACCCACCGATACAGATGGCCCCTGCGGGATAGTGTGTGGGGGCGTAGTTTCCCTGGGGAAATTACACCTGGGTCCGTCCGTAAATGGGGAAATTACACCTGGGTCCGTCCGTGAATGGGGAAATTACACCTGGGTCAGGCCGTGAATGCTGTAAGAGTGAGCCGGACCCCACGGTCCACCGGAGCCAACTCTGGCTGAGACCCGAGCAGGTCATTACACGAGTGTGGTAAATGCGAGAGTGTACAGTACACTGTATATACATACATTACTTGCCCCGTGCTCATTGTTCTTCGCATTCAATGGGTCCCGGTTCCCCAGCCCCCGATGCATCAGGTACTGCATTCCCAGTGGCCAGTTCTTGTATTTCCAGATCCTGAATTTCCACTTTCTGCACTGACAGTTTTTTTACCTCTCCGTGTAAACAGTGTTACAGTGTTTTCGATGTCACCAGTTCCACTACCTAGCGCTCTGTTCACTGTGTCTCTATATTGCAGCATGTGAAGGGGAGGTGGGGAGGGAGATGGGAGAGGGGGTCTCAATCGGGACAGAGGAAGCACGTAACGACCCTGCAGCAATGGCTCTATAAACCCAGAAAATGAGCCTATAAACGCGGCATGCATGCCACTCACAGAGCTGCCGCAGGTGAACCCGAGTCCCTAAACGCAGCCATTACGAGCCGGGCTATTGTTGGGCTCCCACATCACCGATTCAGCTGCAAACGGCTGGAGATTTATCCAGAAACGGAGCACATTTGGGACCTTACGTGCGTGCAACCAACTGCGTCCACAAAACAATAGGGAACTTGCCAATACAAGGAAACGTACTTACGGTTGTCAAGCATCTTTGTGTTACACAACACCTGAGTCATTCAGTTGACCCCAATTGACTCTGCGGATGAATGCATAATGCATCATTTTCCTGGCCAGCGGTTGACCTGTACGTTATGCATAACAAAAACGTTTGCAGCTTAGGTATGCTACGGCTATTCGCTGTGTGTGACCTGTGATTAGCACGCAAATCGGTGTTCACCCAAGTAGGAACCGAATAGGGTCCTAAAATAGCATTGCTTAACCCTCGCCCTGGCAGGGCATTTTTCATAACACGGCCTGGCAGGGGCGGGGGTCGATGCGACCCCCCTCGCGATTGGCTCCTATGGCACCTAGAAACACCAAATTTGGTAGGTAGGTGGGCCCCCTGGAGTTCTCGCCCCTGTGCAAATTTAGTTGCTCTAGGTCAATATTTAGGGGGGTTGGGGGGGGGGGTATAAATGTAAAAATTTCGCTAAAAACAGGTCAAACGTTTTTCGCTTATGATTTTTGATCTAATTAACCCGCGCACCGACGGGGGTCTGCGCCAACTTAGTACCGACGGGGGGGGGGGGGGCGGATGACCGCCCCCCTGAGATCTCGAGAACGAAGCAAGATAGCGACAAGCGGTAAACGGCATCGGATACGCACGGACAAGGTCTACAATTTTTACTAAGGTCATTTTCAGGTCAGGTCAAAGATGACGTCACAGGGGTCGAAAAAGTCAAAATGGCGGCGCTAGATATGGAGAGGGTTTTTCTCGAATAACTTTCGAAGTAGTCAAGATAGGAACAAACTAAGGGCATCATCGTGATCCTCTCGTCAATCCGCATCGAATGATATATATGTTGACCTCGAAAGGTCAAGGTCAAAGGTTGACCTCAGGTCACGTGACCTCGAGGTCATCATGTATATCATTCGATGCGTCTTGACGAGCTGAACACAATGAGACCATCCGCGCGGCTGTATCTTGTTCCTGTAAGGAGTTATTGGCAAAAAACCTTTGGTGACCTTTGATGACGTCACATGACCTTACAGCTGCCCAACAGCAAAACAGACCTCAAGGTAGTGAAGGTTGATCGTATGTGAAGTTATGTATGGTATATGGGGCCATTCCGACCCGTTTTAGTGGTAAAAACAGGGAGTTGATTTTTCCCCCATTGACTTATAATGGGGAGGTCGCGAAATTGACCTGACCTTAGGTCACCGACATCAAAATTCCGAGATAAACAAATTGTAGCTACTAATGACCTTATAACATCCTGTGACTTTCAAAGGCCTCCGACATCTACTGTAGCTCTGGCACGGTGACAAAGTTGCAAAAAAGTGACTTGAGGTTGGGTCATTCGAAGTGACCTGGTGACCTGACCTTAAAAGTTAGGAGGTTCAAACTTGCACACCATGTGTAAAATTGATGAGGTTATAGTCATACCAAATTTCGCGGCGCTACGCGCCGCGGTTTTCCCGCTATCCGCGAAAAACCTCAGGGGGGGGCGGATATCCGCCCCCCGTCGGTGCGCGGGTTAAGATAGAGCAAAAAGAAAAGCACCAGTGAACTCAGCACGTCAAGGCGCGTCGAATGATATACTTTTTAGCTTGCTTAAGTGTACTTAAAGTTTTTTCTTAAATTTTAAGTAAACTTGAATTAATAAATTAAGTTCAAGTTAACCAAATTGCATCATATTGCATATCATTCGATTCGGCTGATAACCTGGAACACAATGATGCCATTTTTTAAGCTCTAGCGTCATTATGTGCCAAGTTATTGGCAAAAACGTCATTTGACCTCAGTTGACCTCATTTGACCTGACCCATGGATAAGTACACCAAACAAAGGAGCACCAAGTGACCTGCTGTTAAATACTGTGGTTTCAAAGCACAAAAGTGATAGAACGAAGCGGATATCTCCAGTATTTTCCGAATTTAGTATTTTTCCATAGGCTTAACATTACGACGTAATGACCTCTAACTGACCTCAGGTCAGTGACCTAAAAAAAAACGAACTACATGTTATACAACTCAGTGAACTTAGCACATCCTGAAAGTTTGAAGGAAATCAGTCCAAAACTGTGAGTTGGACAGGTGCAAAAAGAAAATTGAAATTTGACCATGACCATGTACCGGTTTTTCTGACCTGGTGACCTGACCCAAGGTCACCCGGACCTGAAATTTTCAGGTCGTATGTAAAAAGGCTGCCCCATAAGCTGTGCCAAATTTGGAGGCGCTTTTACGCTATCTTCGAAAAACCTTAGGGGGGGGGGGCGCATCGACCCCCTGCCAGGGCGAGGGTTAAAAGCGACCTGGAGGAAATGTCTCGCAGACTTAGAAGCATAGCACCAGCAATGATGCGACGTTAATCGATCGATCTTGGTGTCATTTACTGATTGACATTGCTTTCAAGCGGCACTTTCAGCTGAATAGCTGCGCTAATGCGTTTTGTCCGATTTTCACTTTGCCGCTTGATGTAGCGCACAGTTTCTCTCTGGACATTGATAAGGTTGTGTAAAGGCATCGCCTATAATTGACCTCACTTCAATTAACTTCACCTCGCTTTTCACAAAGTACACGTTTAGTGAATTGTCTTGCGCATTTCACAACCACTTCGTTTTGTCTAAAAAGTTTTTCGAGGCGCAAGAGGCATCACTGATGGTATCGTTTTATACCTTTCAGCAATAAAACTGCCGTTATGAACGATTAAGCACAAGAGATAAGCTATCTTGTTGCGAGCGAGCGTGAAGCGCGCAGGAAAGTCGTTAGTAGAATGACAGAGCATCCTGAGCATAAGCGACCAGCCGGCCGGCCGTGGTCACGCTTTTGATGCACTTTTGATTTTTATATCGTTTTTCAGTAAATAATACCTCCTCTACATCTTGCGCTGGTCAGCGGTAACCCTTGATATCGTGGCACTGAGCGTCCGTTCTGCTCTGTCGCAGAGATCCAGCGCGTGCAGTCGGATATCCGCGCCGCCGGCAAGCCAGAGTCCAAGTACGCAGACGTCATCCGGGAGAAACCGATCCGCGTGACGTCCCGGATCGTGGTGCCCGTTCGGGACCACCCGAAGGTGAGTAATTATAGGACAGTTTCGGCTTGTATTAGTCGTCTCCTAGCCTTTCAAAAATATTTATTTCACCTCTGCTTCGAGTTGTTGCCTGCCACTTGGGAGTAAAAACATTTTGATACCGAACCTTCGAGCAAAAACACTTGACTTTTTTTTTAAAAATAATATGCTCATCCACAGACTTCTCTATATATAGAGAAGTCTGTGGCTCATCATTTACGTTTATTGAGCACGAACAAAAGCGACGTACATATCTATGCTGCTCATTTACATATTCCATTTGTCCTTTCCCCATTTTGCCTTTAACATTCCCCTTCCCTCTCTCTCTCTCTCTCTCTCTCTCTCTCTCTCTCTCTCTCTCTCTCTCTCTCTCTCTCTCTCTCTCTCTCTCTTCATTCCTTACCCTCTCCTTCATTTTTCCTTCCATTATAGTCCCAATTGAAAGCTGGTTTCGCCGCGTTTCAATGCTCCGAGTTCCGACCGTAGTCTGTTGGCCGGCCGTCTGGCTACCAGTCGACCTCTCGCCTGCCTCCCAGCACCCTGGCAGAGAGACTGCTGTCGGAATGACTCCGTGAATCACACCCTCGGACAGACAGACAGCCGGCAAAAGCGACTCGGAGCCACTCAGAACGATATAATGACGACAGGCATTATTGATGCCGCTGACCCAACTCGTATCTCAGAGGGGTGAGCTGAGGACGCTGCAAAAACACAGCAGGAGAGATAGAAAGAGAGAGAGAGAGAGAGAGAGAGAGAGAGAGAGAGAGAGAGAGAGAGAGAGAGAGAGAGAGAGAGAGAGAAAGAGAGAGAGAGAGAGAGAGAGAGAGGGATAGAGGGAGGATTTGGGAAGGGAGAGAGGAAGGAAGATGAAAGGGAAAATGAGACGGGGAGGAATGAAGGGAGTGAGCGAGAAATAATGAGACAGGAGAAACTGTGTGCCATTGTATGGTTTTATCATAAAAAGATCGCAAACGGCATAGCCCTCATCCACAGTTCACAGGCTGACAAAATGACCACGCTGTGTCAAAAGACCGTCTTGTACCGTCGATTCCCTTCATGATAAAGTAAAATCACCACTATTTGGGGACGTTTGGATAGTTTTCGCAGACCAAAATCTCTTTGACCCCTTGAATTGGTTCTTTGTCAGATATAACCTCTAAGAACCTAATCCCTGGATTCCAACCTCCTCAACGAGCGGCCACTCCGCCATAAAACGATCAGTTTTATATTTACCGTGGTGGCGCTATCATTCAATGGACGGCGCAATATGGTGGCGAGGCTGGACGCTGCAAGGGTCTGGCATTGCTCGGAGCTGGCTGGATCGCCGCGTCCCAGCTGACTGAGCACAGCACCAGGCGATCCATGGCCCAGACTACCCGGCGCCGAGGCAGACGAGTTATCCCACATCGAACAGTCACTGTTTGGATTGCTTACCTGCTCTATGTGGACAATGTCAGATAAGCACTGAGAGCGAAACGATGGCAGTATCCCTGGCATGTTTCCTACCTCTGTTTGAAAATGGTGACATATAATGCTGTCTGGGTCCAAGAACAAAGATCTACTAGATACGAATACAAATACCTACACTCAAAGCCCCATTAAAAATGTGCAATTTAATGCCTCTTTAAACTTGACGCATTAGGAATAATGTTTCTCCTCACCCTCAATTGAGGTATGAATATATAGATCCAGAATTTACATATATAAATATCAAAATGTCCGTATGTGACGCGTCAGTCACGCTTGGCGGGCTATTGCTCCGGAACGGTGCGGGCTACGGGGGTGGAATTTTAGGCGCCAGCCGGACGCGTGCATCTGTTTGTCATATTAAGTTTTGGTGGGGGTGCGCTCGCCGGTTTGCACGTGGCGGGCGCATCTTTGCGGAATTTTGGGCCGCGGCCGGCGCCGAGCAGTGAGCACGCGCATTATCCTCAGTTTCTTCGCCAAACTGAGCAAAATCAGAGCCGGAAGGTCACTGACCTTGCAATGACGGCCGATTGCAATGAAACTTGGTTTATTACGCTGCGCGTAATGCTGTCCCTCTTTACGCTGCGCGTAATGCTGTCCCTCTAGTCAAATATAAAATGCTTTTCTGTGTGAACATCGTGCAGTACGTACACATGACCTCTCAAGCCAGTTGGGCAGTTGGCCGGGCTTTGTACTCCTCAGACGACCAAGTTTGAGCAGGTCCATAGAAGCTGTGCACGCCGCCGCACTACCGGGTGACCTTTGGTGCGTTTCAGTTCAACTTTGTCGGCAAACTGCTCGGCCCGAAGGGCAACTCTCTGAAGCGGCTCCAGGAGGAAACACTCACCCGAATGGCGATCCTGGGACGCGGCTCCATGCGAGACAAAGTCAAGGTGAGATTTAGTACTGTGGGATCAGTGATGTATTCGTTTTTGAAGTGAGTGTTTCTGGTCTCTCTTTATCTATGGTGCTTTAACTCGCATGCTTTTATTATTGAAAAGTTTGTCACACTTACGGCAATAAGTGAGATATTTCAACGGAACATATTTGTTTCGGTTCAACTCTGCGATTATAAAAAAACTCTTGTGTTTCGGCTTCCATAAATATTAAATTCCTACACTCAGCTGCATCCTTGACTTTTCAGTGTGGACTCATGTTCCATTTACCAGATTGCTATCATTTACCAGATACTTTTTAACCAGATTACTCATTTTAAGGTGACTGGTGAAAACAGGTCGAGGCATATGCTGAGCACATGTCGATCTTTTTTTAATGACAACAAATGTTGCGGTAACAAATCAATAATCATACGCTGCTGAACATATGGCGTACCTAGGCCATACGTTCTAGGTATAGCACGTCGGTATACTGTGGCTGGCGCGGCGGGAGCGCCGGTAGTTAGACTGTCCCGCAGCACGATGATGTGTTGCGGCACAGCTTACCACCAGCCCGGCGCCAGCCGAGCCACGGCGTTCACCCAGACGCACGCGTCTCCCCGCGAGCTGAATGGCTCGATGGATGGGCCGCACATTTGGCTTTATCGTAGAACATTCCCGTTAAGATGACTTTCCAATCTGCCGCAAGTGAGTGGCATCAGTGAGTAGAAGTTCACCTGAAACTCAGCGTCAATGTTTGCCTTCTACCTATCGCAAAGCTAGCCTTAGTTTTCAGCCTTGGCGTGAAGAGATACACAGCGTAAGATTTTAAATCGGGATCATTTTGGGCTGCTGCTTGGAAATAAAGATATGTTTATGAAAATGTTTGGAGTTCGCTCTCGGTGGTCTGGCGCTTAGCCAGCACGCAGGATAGAATGGATATCAAGCATCACCGTGAATAATTCCAACTAATACATCACGGGAAATTGAAATGGTGAGTTAAATGAAAGGCTTTATGGTAAGATATCATCAGATATAGTTAATTTTTTTGAGAAACCAGGAGGATCTTCATAGCCTATTCCATAATTAAAAGTTATTCACGTACAAGATGCAAGATATCCACCTATTTGACGTAGTCTTAAATTCAGATTTATGCTGCCCATCACTTCATGGGCGTAGGAACGCCTGGAACATTGTGGGTGCATGGGTGCAGAAATCCAGCCATGGCCGGTGAAGCGGGGGGGGGGGGGGAGGGGGGGAGCGACACCCGAGCGAAGGCTCGTTACGAGCTTTGAGGGTGTACCATGTCGAAAAGGTACCAACCGATAAGTGCATTTGGAAGCATTGACCCTCGCATGTGAAGGGGGGTCTGATGACCCCCCCCCCCCCCACCATGGTTGTTCGCAAATAACTCGCGCAAAAAGTGGCCGATCGCGACGAAACTTTAAGTACCCTCGAGTTGATCAGTTTTACACCTACTCTGAAAATTTCATGACCCTGACCCAAAAGACCTTTGACCTGTGACCTGATTCTCGAAACCATGTTCGGCCGGAATCGCGATTTGGCGTATGTCAGCTCACATTATCCGCGCTTTTCCAGTCTTTTTGTGATTGTAGACGTCCAAACATGTGAAATGATGTTCTTCTCATGCATCACGGTGGGTGTGAAGATAACCTGAAGGTCAGGTCAGGTCGTTGACCTTTGATGACCTCGGTTCACTTTTTCGAGTTTTTCATGTTTTTAGGGTAGTTTATAGGGCTGATTTCGAATTTAGCATCCATTTGAACGTTTACGAAGTAGTTTTAGTGCTTTCGTAATCGTGACATGCTACGACGCCGTCAGTGGTAGTTGACACCTACTATGGATAGCCGGTAGGACGCCTAATGGTTGACCTGACCTGACCTGACCCGATCTGGCCTAAATGCATGAAGAAATCATCTGTGATCAAAACTAACATCAGATATTTGTGATCAGCACCCCGAAAAACCCGATAACAGCTTCACTTTAAGCAGTTCTAGCAGGTCCCGATTTTCCCGACTTTTGGAATATTGACCTGACCTGGAAGGTCAACCAATGAAGTAGGACCTTAAAATTGGGTATCATCGGCTTCCTCTCGTCACGGGCAACACCCTCGTTTTTTCCGCGAAGCTCTAGCTCGATCAGGGGCCGAACGCCAGGGGGTCCGACCGACCCCCTCCCCCTCCCCCTACAGATTAGAAGCTGGAAAGCGCTGCACACATTCGAGGGCTAATATTGTCAATATTGACTACCGCAAAAAGTAAAAGCGGCCAACTTAGCCATTTTCGAAGATATCGGGCTAAAATTTTTGACAGTGGGTCATCGGTTCGGTATGTGTTCAGTCACATGCTCCATTTTCCTTTTTCCAGCACAAATGTAAGTTTTGAAGACCATCACTGATCACAGTAGCAAATGCTTCGAAAGATGGATAGTAGGCAACATATCCTAATTTGCCGTGCTGCATGGGAAGTAGTGTTGATGAAAAAGGGGTTTTTGGTTCAGATTATTGTGGGTGCAGAATACATTGTCTGCACCCACTGGATAAATATTGTGGGTGCAGCTGCACCCTTGCACCCATGGTTCCGACGCTTATGCATCACTTGGCTCCCATTTTTTTCATCCTTCACTTCAGTGGGCCATTTATAGGAGGGAGCCACTGCTCCTCTTCCATCCCTCCCCTATGGGCTGTGACAGCAGTGAAAGCTCGCCCTTGGTGGCCCATAGCTAGAATCCACAGTCCGGGAGTATGGGGGGAGGCGGGGCGGAACCGGAACCTCCGGAAATTTGAGTCGAAAACGGCACTGATTGGTTACTGGGGCTCTGCTGAAGAGTCTTGATATTATTTCAATTCTTACATCATGAATTGAAGAAAAAGTAGTACTATTGGTAGTGCCATATGCTTTAATTATTTCATATATGTTGGGAAAGTATAATACGTGATTCTGCAACAATTGCTAAATCCACGCTGTCATCAACTTGGGGTTTCTGGAGATTAAAAAGCCGTTTGAGATTGCTGAAACTGTTGACCGTCTCCATTTGCGGCTTTGAAAGAAATAAGAATTGGGCTATGGAAGATCAGCATCAGCGTTTCCCTGCACTCAGTGAAGCATTTTCCTAGAGATCGCTAAATCCCTGCAGATTTGTCTTATCCCCATGGTGACTGTTTCACAATACAGCAGATACTAACTATGATTGTTGTGACTGAGACTGTTTTGTGGATTCGTATTCCCAGCGCACTTTAGAGGGAACAAGGAAGTAGCATTAAAAATAACCAGCCGGGAAATGCCACCCAAGACCAGTGCGCACCACAGCTGACACTGTGACTGTTCTGGCCGGCAGGCGGACAGTTTGTCTGATAGGAGTCTGATGTCGGTCTGATGGTCTGTGTGTGAAGTTAGTGTGGTAGTGTGTCTGACTTAGGTCTGATGGTCTGTCTCTCGTTGGTTCGGTGGGTCAGTGACGTCGGTCTGACGGGATCTAATATTTGGTTTGAAAGTCTGACGGTTTGGTGGTCAGATGGTCTGTCTGTCTGTCTGGTAAATTGACACTGAATAAGGTTGACTAGCTGCTGACTGGTCTGTCTGACTGACAAACGATCTAATGGCTGGCTGCTGGCTGGTCTGTCTGTGACGCGGTCTTCTCGTCGGAATGACATGCAGGGTTTACTGGTCTGACTGACGCGCTGGTTGAACTGCCTGACTGACGCAGTCCGCTGGTCTGAGTGACTCGGTCCGCTGGCCCCCAGGAGGAGGAGATGAGAAAGTCCAACCACCCGCGAGCGGCCCACCTTCACGAGGAACTGCATGTGGAAATCGTCGCCTTCGCTCCGCCCGCCGAGGCTTATGCGCGCATGGCCTACGCGTTGACGCAAGTGCGACGTTACTTGATACCGGACAACAACGATCAGGTCAGTGGTGTCCGAGGATGAGGTCATTGCCGCTAATGTTATCCGCGGATACGGTTATACCGCGTGAAACACTGTGTGTGTTCTTCATGAACCAGACGTTCTGCTTCGCCTCTAAGCCAGTTTACCCTAATACCCAAAAAATATAAGTGTGGAATATTTTAAGATGTTTTTGCATTATACGTTCTTTCAGCTTGTTTTCAGTGCGGTACGGAATTTTGGCGGCTGAAGAGTCTCCAACCCACAGCGACAACACTGACTCATTTCGATGCTTTATCATCACGCTAACACATGCACAATGGCGTGTTGACGCATTCGCATAACCCATCATCACATATTCGCCGATTATGTGAATATGTTAACATCCTGATAAAGCATCCAAACCCATCTGCATTTATACAGATTTGAATATTCCATGTATTTACCATAATTTTCTACGCGAGTTCTGAACAAAAAGAACACAGTTCACCCGGAGCCCATATGCTTTTGACATTCTCACCTGAAAAAACACGTCCTTCCATTATCAACATATCAAAACATATAGTAAGCAAGCATATCAAACGTTACGTGTTGCGGTGCATTTTTGCATCGTATGCATGTTACCATGAGCAAATACATTTATTAAACATCGTATGTTGAGCCACGATGCAATAAATGTAATAGTTAAGTCAACTGCATACATAGCGGCCATTATCAAAGCGCCATTATCAGAATAATACAGTTCCCTGTACACTAACGGCCTGCCTGCAGCAACTGCAGCGGTCCGGCAGCATGACCTGGTGGGAATGTAGTCGCCCATGAGCCGCTTCCTCATGGTTTTCACCAACGGAGGTTAGGGCGACTTTAAAACGTTGTTACCCGTCTAAAACACAAAGTTTTGAGCATGCCTGTACTTTCAACGAATAAGCAACGATGTCCGCTGGGGTGAATTGTGAATCCGGTTCGAAGCGGACGTGGTCTGAGGCCTGCCACATTCATTAATAATGCAAGCCTGCATGTTTTGACTTTCCACTTTCACGATGGCCTGACATGAGATCGGGTGACCTGACCCACAGTAATCGAATGGTATAGTCTCTGCCGAGCTCATCTTTATAGGCAACATCACCATTTTTATTTCCTATGCACAAGCGATGCGTCTCATTTGATGGTATCACCAAGGATGCAGAGAAGACACCAGAAAATAATCAAAATATGTCGTCCTTCGATAACCTGCCATTATAATTGCATTATCTTCAAAACTGTATTGATTATGAGATTGTCTGTTCGTCGGATATGTTCTTGTAGGGATGCAAAAGTGACTATGTCCGGCAGGAACCACTTAGTAGTCATATAGTTACATAAAGGCACTCGCAGCGCAAGTCCTACACTACCTTAAGCCTCAATTATGTAATGAGCTCGCTAAGGGCCTCTAGCCGCCTACCATACGCTTCGGTTGGAAATCTGGGATTTCGAGGTGTATTTAAAAACATTGTGTCTCATTCAAGGTTACAAGTAAATGATTTGCGATCAAAACAAATCAATGCGTATTGCGTATTTACATGCATTGTATAAATCAATATCGGCTCACTAAAACAGGTCAAGACGCAGGCATTGACGCTTGTAGGGTAGCATTTTACTTAAGTACAAGATGTTAATGCACTCCAACTACTCACTTATACTACTCAGTGCACTCAGTGGTCGTTCATTTTATATGATGACTAGAGACGTCAATCGGATACCAACTTTTTGGTATACCGATACCAAACCGATACCAACCTGGTATTTGGTATTTCAAGACTAACATATTTCGAATTTCGTTGGCGTTGTGAATCCTAGCTAATGTAAAAGAGGCTGTGAATTTGGTTAAAAGTTGGTATTTCCCTGATATTTCCAAGTCGGTTCGGCTTCGGTATATGCCCACGGCTCCTATTGATATTTGGTTTCGTATCGGTATCACAATTTTTCCAAATCGACGCCACTAATGACGACCACAAACCACATGCAAACACACACACCATAGTCACCTCGAAAAGCGCAAAAAGTGATAGAGTGAGGCCGGGCAGATAGCATATAGTCAGCACATGCCTACAGCCAGTAACAGTGAGCCATATAGCAACCTGTCAGACATACATGCAGACAGACAGACAGATAGACAGAGTGCACCCCTCCCTTTCCACGGCGCGGTGGGTGTTGGGCGGTGGACCGGACGGGCGTGGCGGCCTGGCCAGGCGGCGGTAGCTGGATAGGACAGTCGGTGGACCTGCAGTGGCCGAGCCAGCGGTAGCTGGATAAGACAGTCGATGGACCTGCAATGGCCGAGCCAGCGGTAGCCGGATAGGACAGTCGCGGGCCTGCATTGGCCGGCCATAGTCGGCACTAGTGTCAGTCGGCGGCCAGGGTAGGCTATTATCGCTCTATCGTCCGGCTATTGAGGCGGCCTGTGCAGGGTGGGGGACTGCCAGACTCGGGGGAGTGTGTGTGTGTGGGGGGGGGACTGCGGCCGGCCGCTTTTGTTGGGCCTGGCCGGTTTTATGAACCGTACCGCGCCGCTTATCGGTTATCAATGTTGGTATGACACAGCACAGTTGACACTGCTGAGGCCTGAGGGTATAGGTGACAGCCACACCGAGAAACAGATGAACAGGGGGTGAAAGGGGAGGCTAGTGATGCTAGCTGGCGTCTCACGAATCGACATTGTAAATGTAAAATACGTGCGGCAAATGTGACAATGTAGAATGGTTGGATGAATGCCGAACGGTGTACATATATAAAAAACATGTGACACATGTGGATTATTACTCATAAGACACAAACACATTTTAGCTTCTTTATTGCACTGTCGCCTAATGAACCGTTTTTCCTAAACATATCCTGGACATATTTTTTTCAATATATGTATAAGATAGATATTTGTAAGCCAATGCAGCGTGTTCGACTTTGTGTAACCTAATTTCGCTGATTTGCGTTGTGCCAGCACGGCTGGTCGTTTAAGTTAGAGCTTCTCAGATATCTGGACGCCTAACTGCAGACTTGTTTTCGGCCATATCGCAAATCAAATCAAAACTGGGCATAACAAGCACATCGATCAGAGTAGCAAACTATGTGCCCTGCAGGCTTAATTCGGGGATTCCGGACAGTGAGAAATATGTAAAGCTTTAAAGTTTACAGCTTTCAAATGAAAGTCAATGTAACTGTGTCAACAATTCAAAAACAAATATTTCCATTTCCGCAATTCAGCTGAATGCACTTCGTTTTGGTTTGCGAAACCTTCTATAATGTCAGGTTTACCATGCTTACCAACTAGCATATTGGCAACAGGATCATAAAACAATTCATAATAACCTTTTTAAGAAATAAATGGCCCGTACAAAAAGGCAAATGTCACCTGTCGGGTAAGGCACAAGACAAATTTGCATTATATGACAATGAATGTGCCATTTTATGAACCTAGCTAAATTAGCTGGCAGTATCCACAAAAGACGCAAATTGTGACAAACTGATTGCACCCAGCAAGTTCTCAGAGCATCCACGCTGAACAGTGAACTGTTTCACTGTTGGTCGATGATCGTAAGAAGCTCACATACGTAGCAGCGAACATTGTGGCGCTGGGTCTCTCTGGATGGCCAGCTGTGCTCTTTTGTGTGAGTTTCCGTGACCGGTTCCCCATCCTTATGACCAGTCACGCGAACCGTGCCTGCTAAGCGGCATCTCGAGAGCCGCTTAAAGCCATTAAAGCCATTACGAGCACTGCTGGGGCTGAAAAGGACCAAACCACTCCGTTTAATGACGCAGGGTGGTCTGAGGAAGAGCTCAGATATCGTTCTGGGCTGTTACTTATGGATAATGTGCAATGAGGAGCTTATCATGCTACAATTTCGCTTGCACGATTGAGCATGGTTGGCATTCGCCCAGAAGCTGCAGGGTCCCGACCTCAGGGAGTCAGGTGCGTCGCGATATTCATCTTCCTTCGGAGTCCAGCACTTCTTCCAGACCAACGCGACAGGGAGCATTCTCCCATACAAGGATGGCTTCTTCCATCCAAGACCGTAGGGGAAGGTGGGGTAAGACGGACCAGCTAAGGTTTGAGGCCGCATATCTTGCTACACTGCTCTCGTAATTCATATTATTTATAGTCTTCGGAATGCTCAATCCTTCCTCTGTTGATATGTGTAAAGACTAAATTTCAAATTAAAGACATCTAGGTGGTGGATGCTCTTAAAGAGGGACATGTCAAAAACTCAGACAAGAAAAAACGTGGGGTAAGACGGACCACCCAGCAGTGCCTGCTATCCGTTCATGTGTGTTACACTTCTGCTCTGTACTCTTGTAAGAAAAAGTAACCAGATTGGTAAAATAACAAAATGAGCCTTTATTCTTTACTCATGTGTGATGGAAGTGCAGCTAAAAGCTGGGAACATGTGTGTTGATTGTCGTTTGGCATGAATGCATGCTAACTGAGCACTTTCATGCATGGCTCACATCCAACAAAGACTCCTTCCTGAAAAATTAGCTTACTTAAACTTGTGTCAATGTTTTGGAAAAAAAACTTTCCATATGCAGGGTACAATGGACCACCACAGGGTAAGATGGATCACAGTGGTCCGTCTTGCCCCAAATCTAAATTCTGTCATTATCATAACGTATATGTCAAATAGCCCAGCATTGCAAAACCTTGCCTTTCCTAAAGTGTGATTATAACTATGTTTATAACTTTGTTCTTCACAGTAAAGTGCAAAATAGAAACTAATCATGCAAGAAAGGCGCCGTAATTGAATCACCCGTAGACCTCTTATATTAGATCGGTTTGACGAAAAACAACATTTTTCTCAATAACTCAAAAGCTATGCGTCCTAGCAGCATGAGCTCAAGGTGGCCATTGTTACGAAGGAAAACAAACATAGTGAGTGCATAAAGCAGTAGATACCAGCAGCGGTTCAGCCGGGAGGGCTGGTGGTCCGTCTTGCCCCGCTGGGCCGTCTTACCCCACCTTCCCCTACATACCCTTCCATCAGCTGGAAAGACAA